GCCTGTCTTCCCGGACTCACTCGTCGAGGGCGGTGGCGGCCTGCGCGCCAGCCTTTCTTTGGGGGTCCGCGCACCGGCCTAGATCCCACCCGCCAACTGGCGACGAGAGGTGACAGCAGCAGTCGGACTGGCCCACGTGCAAGCCTCGCAGTCCACTACCGGAATGAGACTGGCAAATTGGGGATTGAACTCCGAGATTTATCCCATATGGAAAGTATTGAAACCCTCCTTCCTTTTCAACCTCAGGCCTTCCCAGGGTCAGCAACTCACTTATGATCCTAACGGCCCATATATAGAGTTTGTTCGAATGATTTGATGAGTGGGATATTATGGTTTAAATTCGACTTTTCTTTCTACAGCAGACAAATAGAAACAGTAAAGTAAAATAACTTTTAGCTCTCCCTTCCCCCACCCTGTGGTAAAAAGGATGAACTGAGCACAGAGATAACATCATTTAGTGGATAGAAACTTAGGTAGTCCACACAGCAATATGAGTAATGGAGAGTTGATAGATATACTTTCATCTGCACATGAATGAGGCCTAAGAAAATATTGACGATTTGGTGGTTGTAGTAGACCAGGGGCCAGGCCAGCATTTTTTGTTTTATTTTTTCTTTCTCCTATGCTTTGTGAATCTATACCATATTCACTTTGTGGTTTGTGTTTGAAAACTTCCAGGGGATTATCATATGGTTTTAGATCATACTATCTCATGTGCTGTTTTTTTGGTTTTTTTTGTTTTTTTTTGGAGGCGGGGACACCGGGGAATTGAACTCACTGAGCCATATACCCAGACCTATTTTATATTTTAGAGACAGGGTCTCACTGAGTTGCTTAGCACCTCACTTTTGCTGAGGCTGACTTTGAACTCCTGATTGTCCTGTCTCAGCCTCTCGAGTTGCTGGGATTAGAGATGTGTGCCACTGCACCTGGCTTACATACTTTTTTAATTTTTAAATTTTTATAAGTAGCAATGAGTCTGGAGTTCATAATCATTCCTTTTTTTTTTTTTTTTTTTT